AAAGGCTACATACTGCTTGATTCCATTATATATATAACACTCTTGAAAAAAAAAATTGTAGAAATGGAGAACAGATTAGTAGTTGCCAGGGGTTAAGTGGGGAGCAGAAGGCCTGGCACAGTGGCTCCCACCTGTAATCCCAGCACCTGGGGAGGCCAAGGTGTGAGGACTGCTTGAGCCCAGGAGTTTGAGATTAGCCTGGGCAACATAGGGAGACCCAACTCTAAAAATAATTTTTAGCCACGTCTACTGCGAGAATGAAGACCATTCTCAGAAATCAGACTGTCAACATTCCAAAAAATGTTGACATTACTCTGAAGGGACACAGTTATTGTGAAGGGCCCCAGAGGAACCCTGTGGAGGGACTTCAGTCACATCAGTATAGAACTCAGTCTTCTTGAAAAGAAAAAAATGAGGCTCCGGGATGACAAACGGTGGAGTAACAGAAAGGAACTGGCTGCTGTTCAGACTATTTGTAGTCATGTACAGAACATGATCAAGGGTGTTACACTGGGCCTCAGTTACAAGATGAGGTCTGTGTACGCTCACTTCCCCATCAACGTTATCTAGGAGAATGGGTCTCTTGTTGAAATCCAAAATTTATTGGGTGAAAGATATATCCACAAGGTTCAGATGAGACTACGTGTTGCTCGTTCAGTATCTCAAGCCCAGAAAGATGAATTCATCCTTGAAGGAAATGACATTGAGCTTGTTTCAAATTCAGCAGCTTTGATTCAGCAAGCCACAACAGTTAAAAACAAGGATATCAGGAAATCTTTGAATGGTATCTATGTCTCTGAAAAGGGAACTGTTCAGCAGGCTGATGAATAAGATCTCAGAGTTGTCCAGCTACAGAAACAGGATGCTGGATGATTCCTACCTATTTGTGATATTTAAATAATACAATAAAAGACCAACAGATTTGGAAAAAATAATAATAATAATTTTTAAAAATTAGCCAGGCATGGCGGCATGAGCCTGTGATCCCAACTATACAGGAGGCTGAGGCAGGAGGATCGCCTGAACCCAGGAGGTCAAGGCTGCAGTTAGCCATGATGGTACCTAGTGATCGCCAGCCTGGGTGACAGAATGATATCCTGTCAAAAAAAGAAATAAAGAAAGAAAGAGAGAAAGAGAGAGAGAGAAGGAGGCAGGGAGGGAGGGAGGGAAGGAAGGAAGGAAGGAAGGAAAGAAGGAAGGACAAAGAGGGGGGAAAAACCCCTCTTTCGGTGGCTGAATCCGGAATGTCACATTTTTCCATTGAGATTTGGTTGTGTGAGGAGCTGGTCTGCAGATAAAGAAAAATGCATCAGACCTGAAGAAAAAAGAAGCAGAGATGAGAAGTAGATTACAACTTGCTCTGTGAGAGGAGGTCTGGATTGAGTGCATTCTATTTTCTTTTCATCAATTCCCCCTCTTTTTGTTCTAGCTATATATATGTGTGTGTGTGTGCATATATACACATATGTATATATGTGTGTGCATATATACACATATGTATATGTGTGCATATATACACATATATAATTATACACATTTATGTATGTATAGATACACACACACACACACACACACACGGCTCACTGCAGCCTCAAACTCCTGGGCTCAGCTTCCCCCAGAAGCTGGGACTACAGGCTGGGACTGTGTATATATATTTTTGAGACAGGGTCTCACTCTGTCACCCAGGCTGGAGTGCAGTGGTGCAATCATAGCTCACCGCAGTCTTGACCTCCTGTGCTGAAGTGATCCTCCCACCTCAGCCTCCCAAGCTGAAACTACATATGCACACCATCGTGCCCAGCTAATTCTTTTGTGTTTGTAGAGATGGGATTTCTCCATGTTGCCCAGGCTGTTCTTGAACTGGGCTCAAGCCATCTGCCTGCCTCAGCCTCCCACAGTGCTGGAATTACAGGCGTGAGCCACCACGCCTGGCTAAGCTATCTTGTTTTTCGTACAATCCATGGGGTACATGTGACATTTTATTACATGTATATAATACATAACAAACAAGTCAGGGTTTTTAGGGTATCCATCCCCCCAATACAATACATTTTTATTAACAGTAGTCACCCTACTCTGCTATCAAACGTTGAATTTATGCCTTCTGTCTAACCGTATGTTTGTACCTTTTAACCCACTTCTCTTCATCCTCCCCTCTGCCCCCAACTTGTTTAAGCTATCTTGAGTTGGTTTCTGGTGTTTCAACAAGATTCATAACGAATGCAACTGCTAATATTCCTCAGTAGTTTGTCAAATACCATTTGGCATCTTCTGTTGTTCAGTCATCGACTCTACATCTACTCTCGGGTCTCCCTGAACTTCTCCACTCCGTCCATCCTCCTCCTCCTCCTCCACATTCAGGGACCCTTTCATAATTCACGTCAGGCTTTCACATACGCTATCTGTGATTGTTCCAGTAAGCCTGTGAGCTAGTTCTTGTTCTTATTTCAGTTCAGCAGTCCTTTATCAAGTACCTACTAAGTGCCAGGAACCAAGCTGTAGGGTCCATTCTCCTGTTCTCCCATAGCACGAGTACACAGTCCCTCTCTAAAATCTCTGGGGCTCAGCCAGGCACGGTGGCTCATGCCTGTAATCCCAGCACTTTGGGAGGCCAAGGTGGGTGGATCACCTGAGGTCAGGAGTTTGAGACTGAGACCAGCCTGACCAACATGGTGAAACCCCGTCTCTACTAAAAATACAAAAATTAGCCAGGTATGTTGATGGGCACCTGTAATTCCAGCTACCCAGGAGGCTGAGGCAGGAGAATCGCTTAAACCCGGGAGGTGGAGGTTGCAGTGAGCCGAGATCGCGCCATTGCACTCCAGCCTGGGCGACAGAGACTCCATCTCAAAAAATAAAATAAAATAAAATAAAATAAACAAAATATCTGGGGTTGATGTACAGACTCACTTGAACACGCAGGCCTGGAGGCCCACACATCCATGCCTAATATATTTACGATATGTAAATCAAGTTAATAAGCTACTAAATAAGAACTGTCTTCTGAGCTGCGCGTGGTGGCTCATGCCTATTATCTGAGCACTTTGAGAGGCTGAGACAGGATGATCACTTGAGCCCAGGAGTTCAAGAACAGCCTGGGCACCATAGTGAGACCCTATCTCTATTTGAAAAATAAATAAATAAGAACTGTGCTCTGTCCTACGTTGATAGGTATGGCCAGGGTCAAATTTACAATTTTGGATAACTACTCTGTCCCCTTTCTCTTTGCACACTCGATTCTATCCTTACCTTGAGTGGTTTCATGGGCACGTGTGTGGACATTTTAGTTTGCACAACCAGCCTCTATCCATACCTGCTGCAAACAGCTGCTCTTTGGTTATGTCTTGGGCTTAAGAGTGCATATGACAGCGGTAACCCCCACCCTGCACCCATCCAGAAGGTTGACCTATTAAAGAGATCTGCACAGGCTGCGGACCACTTGGGCAGCAAACTCCAGTGTCTCAGGTACCTGGGACATGGTCTAGAGTTGAGGGGTGCTCAGGTGGTTAGAGGCCCTTCATTTTGCCTCACAGTCCTACCTAATTAGCAAGGGCTATCTAGAAGAAGGGCAAAGTAAGGCCCTCCAAAGTGTGGGGTCCTCTTGCGTGGGTCTAAGAGGAGCCCTGAAATTTAGAAGTGTTTGGTTTTCAGAGAGATAATATGCTCCACACACTGCATATTATTCAATCCCCCAGTGGGGTCTGGGGAGAGCTTAAGCAAATATGTTGGCACTTCTGCAATAAAATACATTGATATTCATTCTAAGAGAATGAAATAAAGACTATAAAGACTATAGTCTTTATAGATGTCTCTATAAATTCCTCATGTCATTTCAAGTCAGATTTTGCCACCACTTGAGTCTGTGCCAAACTTAAGAAAAAACTTTTGGCTGGCCTCATGCCTGTAATTCTAACACTTTGGGAGGCCAAGGCAGGACGATCGCTTGAGCCTGGGTGTTCAAGCCCAGCCTGGGCAACATAACAAGACCCCGGTCTCTACAAAAGTAAGAAAATTAGCTGGGCACAATAGCACACACCTGTAGCCCTAGTTGCTTGGGAGTCTGAGGTGGGAAAATCCCTTGAGCTTGGTAGGTTGAGGCTGCAGTGAGCCGTGATCATGCCACTGCACTCCAGCCTGGATGACAGAGAAAGACCTTGTCTCAACAACAACAACAACAACAACGACAACACACACACACACACACACACACACACACAACCTTTCAATTTTCACAGCTTTTGAGATTTCAGAACTTGGAGATAAGGAATTATGGAGCTATAACAGAGTTGTAATACAGTCATTGCTGTTCAGTTGATGACACATTTCTAGCTTTCCTTTCAACTAAGTGTAGCCATGTGGCTAAGCGCTCAGCAAGAGAATATGAGCAGAAGTTATGAGGGCCGCTTTGGGTCTGAACTTTTAGGCACCAGGCATGTATTTTCCCACAGTCTTTTCCCTCTTCCTCCAACCTGGAAGACAGATGTGCCTGTTATCCAGCTTCTGTCAAGCAGATGAGGACAGAGTCCTTATATTTGCAGCACAACAATCTGGAAAGAACTAGAGTCCTCGGCCAGGTGGGGCAAGATCCTTACCGAACTGCACTGCTCGACTCAGGACTGCTATGAGGGAGGGAAATGAGCTTCTATTCCTCCTTAAGTCACTGTATTTTTTTTGTAAAGATGAGGTCTGGCTCTATTTCACAGACTGATCTTGAACTCCTGGGCTCAAGTGACCCTCTGCCTTGGCCTCTCAAAGTGCTGGGATTACAGGCATGAGCCACCATGCCTGGCAAGCTACTGTATTTTTGAGCCTCCAACCCACTTAGTCTTGAACTAATTAATATAAGAGACAAGTGCTGGGCATATTAAAGATGGAAAAGATACAGTCCTTACCCCCAAGGGATGATAAGGATATTTTAAGTAAGGAAAACCAACCCATATGTGGAGACAACTAAATGTGCTGCGTGCTGATGTGGCCGCCATGGAAGAACACAGGCCTACCTCAGGGCTTCAGGGAAAACTTCCTCGAAGAGAAGGCGGCTCAGTTGGCCTGTGAAGGTTCAAGAGAGGTTGGTCAGATGAGAAAATGGAAAAGGGTATGTTATGGGTTAAATTGTGTCACCCTCCAGCAAAAGACATGTTGAAGTCCTAAATCCCAGTACCTCGGAATGTGACCTTATTTAGAAATAAGGTCATTGAAAATGTGGTGGCTTATGCCTGTAATCCCAGCACTTTTGGAGACCGAGACAGGAAGATCGCTTGAGTCCAGGAATTTGAGACCAGCTTCAGCAACATGGTGAGACCCCATCTCCACAAAAAATAAACAAAATTAGCAAGGCGTGGTGACACACATCTGTGGTCTCAGCTACTTGGAAAGCTGAGGTGGGAAGATTGCTTGAGCCCGGGATGTTGAGGCTGCAGGGAACCTTAGCATACTGGAGTAGGGTGGGCTAGAATCCAATACAACTGGTGTCCTTTTTTGTTTTTTCTTTTTCTTTTGAGACAGAGTCTTGCTCTGCCACCCAGGCTGGAGTGCAGTGGTGTAATCATAGCTCACTGCAGCCTCCATCTCCAGGGCTCAAGAGATCCTTCTGTCTGTCTCCCGAGTAGTTGGGACTAGAGGTACATTACTAACGCCCAGCAATTTTTTGTATTTTTTGTGGAGAACGGGGACTTACTATGCTTTCCAGGCTGGTCTTGAACTCTTGGCCTCAATCCTCTTGCCTCAGCCTCCCAAAGTGCTGAGATTACAGATGTGAACCATCATGCCTGGCTGGGTGTCCTTTTAAGAAGAAGAAAATTTAGACACAGAGACAGACACTCAGGGATAATGCCATGTGAAGATATAGAGACACACAGACTCAGAGACGATGGCCACATGAAGATGACCACATGAGTTTGGTGTTGTGCTATACAAGTCAAGGAATGCCTGGGCCTACCAGGAACTGAAAGAAGCAAGGAAAGATCCTCCCCTGGAAGTTCTGGAAGGGGCATGATTTCAGACTTCTAGCTTCCAGAACTGTGAGTGGATAAATTTCAGCTGTTTTTAAGTCCTGCACTTTGTTACTTCAACCCTAGGAAATTAATACAGGGCGTATCAGGCATAAGCAGAGGCAGAGAGGTGAGAAACAACATGGTGTACTAAAAGAGACTATAGGCAACTCTGTATTTACAGCTATAATGTGCAAGGCAAGGCATGTCCTGCAATGAAGCTGGAGAGTGGAAAAAACCCACTCACTGCATGTATGATACATAATTTTTAAAAACAGGAATGAAAAATGCAAAGAAGAATGATCACCAAAATAACATAGTTCTTTCATGGTGGTAAAATTTTAGGCAAAGTTTACATTCTTTTAATTTTTTTCCTTATTAATTTTTAAAATGATTATGTCTTTTGTTGTTGTTTTCTTTGAGACACGTCTCGCTCTGTCACCCAGGCTGGAGTGCTGTGGCAGGGTCTTGGCTCACTGCAGCCTTGACCTCCCGTGATTCAAGCTATTCTCCCACCTCAGTCTCCCCAGTAGCTTGGACAACAGGTGTGTGGCACCATGCCCGGCTAATTTTTAAATTTCTTATAGAGATGAGATCTCACTATGTTGCCCATACTGGCCTCAAGCAATCTTCCTGCCTCAGCCTCCCAAAGTGATGGCATTACAAGATTGAGCCACCATACCCGACTGAACATGTATTTTTAATGTAATCAGAAAATAATCTATTTCATTTAGGAAAACAAAGGCAGATGCTGCCAGCAGTGAGGACAGTAGATTAGGGGAGCAGGACTAGAAGCAGAGAGACCAGCTAAGAAACTATTGCAGGCCAGGAGCAGTGGCTCACACCTGTAATTCCAGAACTTTGGGAGACCGAGGCGGGCAGATTGCTTGAGGTCAGGAGTTCAAGACCAGCCTGGCTAACATGGCGAAACCCTGTCTCCAGTAAAAATACAAAACTTAGCTGGACACTCCAGCCTGGGCAACAGAGCAAGACTCTGTCAAAAGAAAAGAAAGAAGAAAGAAAGAAAGGAAGGAAGGAAGGAAGGAAGGAAGGAAGGAAGGGAAAGAAAGAAACTATTGCAATTGCAATGTTCCAGATCTGTGAGGAGGGTCTGAGCTCAGAAAACCGAAGTAGCAACAGACAAGAGAAATATTTAGAAGGTGGAATTAGAGAGACATGGTGAATAGCTAGAAGTATTTGGGTTGGCGATAGGGAGGATTCCAGAATGATTCTCAGATCTCTAGGTGGGGTGACTTGGTAGATGACAGCCCCTTCATGGGGACTAGGAGAAGAGGAGATTCAGGTTTTCAGGAGAAAATGATGAGTTCAGAGGAAGATGGTGAAATACCCGTGGGGGTATCCAAGTAGCAATGTCCTCAGCTGGTAACTTTACATGGTGGTCTGTCCAGCACTCCACTCTAGGCTTCCTCTGGTAAATTCTCCTGCCCCATTCATCTCCATGATTCTCATGGTGGTTTGTTGTGTTTGTAGGACTCCACTTCCCTAGCTACAGCTAATTGGTCAAGGATGGATGCTTGACCCAAAGTTGGGTTTTGTTTGTTTGTTTGTTTGTTTTTTGAGACAGTCTCACTCTGTCATTCAGGCTGGAGTGCAGTGATGCGATCTCAGCTCACTGCAACCTCCGCCTTCTGGGTTCAAGCGATTCTCCTGCCTCAGCCTCCCAAGTAGCTGGGACTACAGGTGCTTGCCACCATGCCCAGCTAATTTTGTATTTTTTATAGGGATGAGGTTTTGTCATATTGCCCAGGCTGGTCTCAAACTCCTGGCCTCAAGTGATCCGGCTGCCTCGGCCTCCCAAAGTGCCAGGATCTCAGGCGTAAGCCACCGCACCCGGCCCTTGTTTTCAAATTTAAAGAGTAGTAGAGAAGACAGGACTGGCGACATAAACCTGGGAATCACCCCACATGGGCAGCAGTTGGATTCACAAAAGGATGAGATTTTCTAATGAGAGCATATAAGAGGAGAAAAATAAAAGTCAGCATAGAATCTACCAAGGGTGCAGGAGAGAGCAGCAGAAGATCTCACAACCAAATGAAAAGGATGTTCAGAGAAACTGGAGGAAACCAGGAGAGAGGAGAGAATACAGCCCCAGTTAGAGTGGAGGAAACTGGAGCCTGGAGGTGAAGCTAAGAAGCTCACTGATCCAAGACTCAGATTCAGGTCTTTGCTCTTTGCATGGCACCACTGCCCATGGCTTTGATGGTACTGAGCCTCTTTTTTCTTTAAATGGACTTCTAGGGAGACAGTCTGTATAGACAACTTGTTTTCATTTCCCAGTTTCCTTCTCCAAACCTACGCCTGCTCTGAACTGAAGCCTACCTCTACTCTGCCCTCTCGATGTTGCTGTCCTGTGGGTTCATGCATCTGCCTAGGATTTGATATTTTAGGCCTGTGCGCCTGATTAACACAGGGAAGAAGAGCAACAAGGTCCTCAAAAATGCTTTGGACAAGGACAAATTGATTATTGAAGCGGAGTGAGGGTGGACATGGGACTGAAGGTTGCTGAAGCCCCTAGAGCCACATGGGAGAGCATTCAGGGCCACATGCCTATGACATTTTCTCAGAGCCATCGGTTTTATCACATTTATCATTACCCCACATCTTATTCTTAATGTCATAAGTCATGAAGATGAGTCATTAAGCTGGGTTACTCAGTTTGTCTTGTGAACATACCAATAAAAAGACTGTTATTGAATCCCCATGATTTAGAGGATTGTAGGAGTTTCAGGGGATCCAATAAAACCGATGAATTAAGCTCAACAATGGTCATGAGAACTAGTAATTGGCATGACTTGCCTGGTACTTGCATGGTTGGTATGAAAAATGACTCTGTGTTAGAAACTATCTTATAATGAAGGTAGGAGGTGTACACATGTATACATTTCTTCATATTTCTTGTGCATCTACTATATATCAGGAATTATGTGAGCAACAGACTCAAGACAAGTGAGACCTCTGCCCTTCTGGAGCTTGTATTCTAGTGGGCTATTTCCATTTCATACCCCACTAACTGAGGATGTTTCTAACCATTGAAAAATGCCTTTCCCTGCTTCCCCCGTTAGTAGAAGTGAAAGTTCACCCGCCAGGATCCAGGCCAAACTGCCAGAAGAGAATAATATACATTCTACATTTAAATTCTCACTACAGCCCTGCAAGGCAGGTTAACATGATAGAAATAGATAGACCTGGGTTCAGAGGCTGGTTCTGCTACTTCCTGCTGCTTGTTCATCTCTCCGGGCCATAGTCTCCTCCTATTAAACCCTCGAGATGATAACACACACAGTGTATGGCATATAAATCCTTGGCATGTGGCATCATAGCCATTCCTATTGAGATCAGCTCATTTTTGAAGATGAGAAACTTGACACAGAGAGGTAAAGCGACTTACCCAACATCATACAGCTGGTAATTGGCAGAGCGGGAACTTGAACCCAAATCTTCTGACTCCATGCCATGTCCTCTTTCCAGTCTCGCATCACTGTCTGGTATAAGGCCAGGAAGTAATTATCCATGTGTTCAGGGATCTATGCTTCTGGAAGGGTGCAGGCCTAGTGACTTAGGAAGGACAGTATGGAGGTAGTGGTCGGGGGGTGGGGAGAATATGAGGAGTCTCGATAGGCTAGAACAAATTAATGGCCGGGGGACAAGTCCAGGCAGATTGGCACGGGCAAGACCCAGCTAGAAGAACCCGATTCAGCCCCGGCCGCTGCCTGCTCACCTGCGGCCAAACACTGACCCCTGCCGACCGCCCAAGGGAAGGCGGCGCAAGGCCCAGCTCCGGGAGTGTTCGGGGGCCCTCGCGGCTGGAGCGGGCGGGGGAACGCTCATCGCGCAGGCAGGAGCCTAGGGGGCTGGGGGTCACAGCGCGTCCCCCTCCTAGAACCTCGAGACCTGAGTGACTGCCTTGGCCACCCAGGGTGACGTTGCATCACCTCCTTCGCTCACCTGGCTTTTGACAAGAGAAAGGGGACAGAGCTGAGGGTTTTCCCTGCCCTGGGCCCCGACCCCAGCATCTCCTGGGTTTCTCCTTGCCGCGCAGCCCCCCACCGTGTTTGAGACTTGAGGCTGGAGGCCTGCCCTTTCTGTCCTGTCTAGGGTGCTGGCCACCTGCAGCAGGTGGGGGGGCGTTTCTAGGGCTGGATTTGAGTCTCGTATGGGGCAGATGGACCAACTCTAGACCAAAGGCCACTTGCTGGGGCTGAGGGGACGCTGTGGCAGTGCCACCAAATACGGCTGCTTCTTGCCCCTCCTGGCTGCTCCCATCCAGATGGGTCCAGAGATGTTGTCCCTGCAGAAGGAGCTCACTAAGGACTCTTTACCTCTTCCCTCCTTGTTCAGAACTGAGAGAGAGAGAGAGAGAGAGAGAGAGAGAAAGAGAGAGAGAGAGAGAGAGAGAGAGATGGGGGAGTTCTCTAGCATCCTATGCAGGGCTCAGCATTTTATTCTTTAAGATAAAAACAAGGCAGACAGGCTTGTTAGCAATTCAAATATATTGATTTGGGAGGATTTTTTTTTAATTTCAATAATATTTAGAAAGTAACAACATGCTTTCAAGAGTAAGGATTGATGTCAGGTCCTTTATCTTATTCTCTCCAAATCAAGAATCTCCATTTGCAATGGAAGGGATCTGACTCTTAAGTTTCCTGTGAAAAGGGAGGGAGGGAGGGAAGGAGGGAGAGGAGGAGGAGGGTGGAGAGGGGGAGTTGACTGAGCTGACCACTGCTCAGGGTGAGAAGCCTGTAGCCAGTTGCCTGTAGAGTGAAGGCAGTTGAGCCTGACAGGAGTAGGCAACTCTCATTTACAATGCATAAAGAACTTTCTAGTGCATCCTTGGGTCATCTGAACTTCAGTTTGACCCTTTGAGGTGGACCTGGATGCTAGTGCTATTCTCATTTTCAGATCAGAAAGAGGGAACTTGAGGTCAGGCTTAGTGGCTCATGCCTGTAATCCTAACACTTTGGGAGGCCGAGGTGGGTGGATCACCTGAGGTCAGGAGTTCAAGATCAGCCTGGTCAACATTGTGAAATCCCGTCTTTAGAAAAAATAAAAAAATTAGCCAGGTATCTGACACACACTTGTGATCCCAGCTACATGGGAGGCTGAGGCATGAGAATTGCTTGAGCCCAGGAGGTGGAGGTTGCAGTAAACTGAGATAATACCATTGCAATCCAGTTTGGGTGGCAGAGGAAGACCCTGAAGAAGGAAGGAAGGAAGGAAAGAGGGAAAGAAGGAAGGAAGGAAGGAAGGAAGGAAGGAAGGAAGGAAGGAAGGAAGGCAGGCAGGCAGGCAAAAACCCATCTCTACTAAAAATACAAAAAATTAGCTGGGCATGGTGGCGCATCCCTGTAGTCCCACCAGGGGCTAAGCGGGGAGGATCTCTTGAGCCTGGAAGGTTGAGGCCGCAGTAAGCCCTGATTGTGTCACTGAACTCCAGCCTGGACGACAGAGTAAGATCCTGTCTAAAAACAAACAAACAAATAACAACAACAACAAAAACATGATAGACCGACTGAAAAATTTACGGTTTCAGGTTCCACATTGCAATTAACCTTTAAGAAACTACACTTGTCCAGTTTTGGTGTGTAATCTAAGAAAAATATCCACAATTATTTGAAAAGGCTATTAAGATAGTCTTCCTTTTTTCAACTACATAACTGTGTGAAGACAGACTTTTTTCATATATTTCAACCAAAACAACCTATCTCAACACATTGAATGTAAATAGAAGCAGGTATGAGAATGCAGCTATCTTCTACTCAGCTCTAGACATTTAACAGACAACAAAAATCCAAAACAATGTCACTCTTCTCACTAATTCTTTTGTTTTGGAAAATACAATTATTTTTCAACTGCTACTTATGCTAATATGTATAGCATATGGTTTATTAATGCTATTTTAAATGAATTAATACATATTTTTAAAATTTCTGTTTTACTTTCTAACATGGTAAATTTAATGGATATTGAATATAAGCACACAAAAACAAAAACAAAATACATAAACAAGAGCTATTTGGGGCTATTTCAGTAATTGTTAAGAGTCTAAAGGGGTTTTGAGGCCAAAATGTTTGAGAATCATGGAGTTATCTGTGAAGAAAATATCAACTTTTTTCTCTTTTTTAAATTGAGCTATAATTCATATACCATAAAATTCACCATTTAAAAATATATGACTCAATGTTTTTTAGCAGATTCACAAGGTTGTTCAACAATCACTACTATCCAATTCCAGAGCCTGTGCCTGTGTGCAGTCATTTCTCATTGCTCCCTACTTCTAGCCTCTGACAACCACAAAGCTCAGTGAATGTGCCTATCTGAATATTTAATATAAATGGAATCATATAATATGTGGCCTTTTGTGACTGGCTTCTTTCACTTAGCATAATGTTTACAAGGTTCATCCATGCTGTAGCTTGTATCAGTACTTCGTTCCTTTTTATGGTAGAATAATATTTCACTGCATGGATAGACCACATATTTGTTTATCCACTCATTGATTGATAAACACCTGGGTTGTTCCCTGATATGGTTTGGCTCTGTGTCCCCACCCAAACCTCACCTTGAATTGTATTAATCCCCACATGTCAAGGGTGGGACCAGGTAGAGGTAATTGGATCATGGGGATGGTTTCCCCCATGCTGTTCTCGTGATAATGAGTGAGTCTCAGGAGATGTGATGGTTTTATAAGCATCTGGCATTTCCCCTGCTTGCACTCACTCCCGTCCTGCCGCCCTGTGAAGAAGGTGCCTGTTTCTCCTTTGCCTCCTGTTTCTCCTTTGCCTCCTGCCATGATTGTAAGTTTCCTGAGGCCTCCCCAGCAAAGCGGAACTGTGAGTCAATTAAAACCCTTTCCTGTATAAATTACCCAGTCTCAGGCAATTCTTTATAGCAGTGTTAGAATGGACTGATACATTCCCACTTTTTGGCCATTATAAATAATGCTGCTATGAGCATTCATGTATACTTTTTTTTTTTTCTTTCCTTTGAGACAGAGTCTCATTTTGTTGGCCAGGCTGGAGTGCAATGGCACAATTTCGGTCCACTGCAACCTCCACCTCCCAGGTTCAAGCAATTCTCCCATCTCAGCTTCCTGAGTAGCTGGGATTACAGGTGTGCGCCATCATGCCCGGCTAATTTTTGTATTTTTAGTAGAGATAGGGTTTCACCATGTTGGCCAGGCTGGTCTCGATCTGATCTCATGTGATCTGCCCGCCTCGGCCTCCCAAAGTGCTGGGATTACAGGCATGAGCTACTGCGCCCAGCTACACATTTTTTTTTTTTTTTTTTTGAGACAGAGTCTTGCTGTGTTACCCAGGCTGGAGTGCAATGGTATGATCATAGCTCATTGCAGCCTCCAACTCCTAGGCTTAAGCAATCCTCCCACCTCAGCCTCCCCAGTAGCTGGGATTATAGGCATGTACCACCACACCCCGCTAACTTTTTATATTTTGTAGAGATAGGATCTCATTATGTTGCTCAGGCTGGTCTCAAATTCCTGGGCTCAAGGGATCCTCCTGCCTTGGCCTCCCCAAGTTCTGGGTTTGTAGGTGTGAGTCAATGCTCCTGGTCTCATGTACAAGTATATATAATGTTCTCAGTTATCTTGGGTATATAGCTAGCAGTGGAATTGCTAGGTCTTATGGTAACTCTATGTTGAACTCTTTGAGGACCTGCCAAACCGTTTTCCACAGAGGCTGCACCTCTTTATATTCTCACTAGTAATTTATGAGGGTTCCAATTCATCTACATCCTTGCTAATACTAGTTATTGTCTTTTTGACTATAGCCATGGTAGTGGGTTTGAAAGTTTTGATTTTCATTTCCCTAATAGTTAATGATGCTGAGTTTTTTTGTTTTGTTTTGTTTTGTTTTTTTTTAGATGGAATTTCGCTCTTGTTGCCAAGGCTGGAGTGTAGTGGTGCAATCTTGGCTCACTGCAACATCCACCTTCCGGGTTCAAGCAGTTCTCTTGCCTCAGTCTCCCTAGTAGCTGGGATTACAGGCGCCTGCCACCACACCCGGCTAATTTTTCTATTTTTAGTAGAGGCGGGGTTTCACCATGTTGGCCAGGTTGGTCTTGAACTCTTGACCTCAAGTGATCCACCTGCCTCGGCTTCCCAAAGTGCTGGGATTACAGGCATGAGCCACCATGCCTGGCCGACGCTGAGTATCTTATCATGTGCTTCTTTGCATTTGTATATTTTCTTTGGAGAAATGCTTATTCCAGTCATTTGCCCAAATTTAAATTGGGTTATTTGTCTTTTTATTATTAAATTTTAAGAGCTCTTATAGGCTGGACGAGGTGGCTCACTCTAATCCCAACACTTTGGATGGCAGAGGCGGGAGGATCGCTTGAGGCCAGGAGTTCAAGACCAGCCTGGGCAACGTAGTGAGATCTCGTCTATACAAAAAAATTTAAAAACTTATCCAAGCATGGTGGTGTCACCTACAGTTCCAGCTACTCGGGAGCGAGGTGAGAGGAT